ATTTGGATGTGGGGGTGAAGAGCTCACTGGCCAAATTCGCAGATGACACCAAGTTATGGGGAAGTGTGGTCATGCTTGGAGATAGACTATGTTTACAGGTAGACCTAGACAGGCTGGCAAGTTGGGCGGATAGGAACCTGACGAAGTTCAACATTGAGAAATGTAAAGTGCTCCACCTTGGGATGGGCAACCCTCAACACACCTACAGGCTTGGCAGCACCAAACTGACTAGCACCACAAATGAAAGGGACCTGGGGGTAATAATAGACCACAGTATGAATATAAGCAGGCAGTGCAATGCTGTAGTCAGTATGGCAAATAATATTCTGGCATGCATCAATCGAGGCATCTCCAGCAAAACCAAGGAGGTGATTCTTCTGCTCTACTCAGCACAGGTGAAACCGCAGCTGGAGTACTACAACCAGCTCTAGGCACCACACTTTAACAAGGATGTGGACAAGCTTGAGAGAGTCCAAAGAAGAGCCACTTGTATGATCAGAGTCTTGCATGGTAAGCCATATGAGGAAAGGCTGAGGAACCTGGGACTCTTCAGCCTGAGGAAAAGAAGGCTAAGAGGGGACCTGGTAGCAGCTTACCACTACACTAGAGGAGTACATCAACGGCTTGGTGAACAACTGTTCACCAGGGCACCTGAGGGGAAAACCAGGAGTAATGGCCACAAACTCCTAGAAGATCAAGTTGGGCTCAACATTAGGAAAAACTTCTTCACAATCAGGGTGTCCAGACTGTGGAATAAGCTCCCTCCAGAGGTGGTGCAATCACCTTCCCTGGAAATCTTAAAGAGAAGACTAGACAGCCACCTTGCTGGGGTCACCTGACCCCCAGTTATCTTTCCTGTTTGATGCAGGGGGCTCAACCTAATGATCTTCTGAGGTCCCTTCTGGCCTTACAATCTATGAATCTATGAAAATCCCCCCTCAGTCTTTTCTTTTCCAGGCTAAATAACCCTCAGTTTTTCAGCCTTTCCTCTTGTGTCTCGTCTCCCAGGCCCCTGGTCATTTTTGTTGCCTTGTGCTGGACTTTGTCCAAATTGTCCACATCTTTCTTGAAGTGTAGGACCCAAAACTGGATCCAGTAGTCCAAATGAGGCCTCATGAGTGCTGAGTAGAATCACTCTATTTAGATATGTCAATTCCTGAAATTTTATTACAAGTACTTCACTATTTGGTGTTTTTGTTGAATTCCAAGTTCACTGAATCATATCATTAAGTAAAAATATGTTATAATTTAATCTTTATTTTCATTTTTAAAGCAAGTTTCCATCCGTCATGGGCACAGAGGAAAACCTTGAAAATATAAATTGGTTTCACACTAAGTGCGTGTCCAGATGAGTGTGGACATGTTATATGCAGCACCACATGCTACATATGCAGGCATTCCCCACGCTGCTACTTTGCAGGGGGTGGGATTCAACCTAGGAGATCCTGGGGTAAAAAAAAATCCATGCCTACAAAAACCAGGGTGGCTCACACAGTGGTATCTCCATAAATGTAGCCTGGACAGCTGGAGCCAAGCTCCAGTTGCTGCCTAGGCTCTCTGCTGCAGGAGCACCATGGCTGCAGCTCTCAAAGGCTTCCAGAACCCTTGGTAAGGCTGCTGGGGCCAGCACAGTTGCTGGCCCCAGCCTCCCTGTATCCCACCTGGGGCAACTTGCCACACGCCAGAGAACGCACGGCATGGGCATTCCTTGGGGACAAGTAGTAGTGGCACAATGAGTGCCACTGTTACTTGTCCCCAGGGAAATGCAGGTTCCTGCTTATGGGGACATGTCCTAAGGATTCAGTAAGAACCATGTAAGGATATTTTTTATAATTTTACTTTTTTTTAATAGTATGGTTTTGAAGATGTGCCACATGATTTAAGGATGCTTGTGGTTGGCAATAGTAGGATTTTTGATAATGGTAGCATTTAAAAGTTTTTCCAATTCTAAGTATTCCATGTACTCATTTTCTGATGCTGGTATAAATAAAAATGAAAAAGAAATTAATTCCATTTTTTAAGATTTCATTAACTAGAGGAGATATCTATACTGTTTAAGCAACTGTCCCAGTGAAAATGTTACTTGTATTTAGACTATGTTTGTTGCTGATACATCCATATGAGGTGGTCCATAAGACAGCTCTTTTATAAATAACTTTCTCTTTAGCTATCTGATAGTAAACTCTCTGGCTTTATAGTAAATTACATAAACCTTTTTATCATAATGAATTTTGTCTGAAATTTTACAAACACTTGCATTTTCTGAAAACATTTATTACCAGTGTAAATTAATATGCAGCTTATATTAATTTAGTGACTATTAAACGTCTTCCATTTTATATAGAATTATTAATTTTTATTTTTTTTTGCAGAAAGCCAAAAACAAAGATTAATTTCAAACTTTGCTTTGCTTTTAGATTATTATGCCATGCAATGAAAGACCACATAGTACGAGTAGCAAACGAGGCAGAATTTATTTTGAACCGACAAAGAGCTGAAGACGTACACAAACATGCAGAGTTTGAGGTAAGCCTGTGGATGAATTCCTGTTTTCTGTTTTTACTCAGCTATCACCTAGACTGTAACCTCATACAATAACAACTTTTTTCAGGGGAGACAAATTTACATGGAAGGCATTTCAAAACCAGCTTTTAAAAGCTTTGGTAAATGTAAAACACAAAGAACTAGTTTATTTTTTCATTCCCTCACTGAAATCCATGGAAACATTTACAGCTTGAAGAAACCCCTTACTCAGGTTGCCTACTTACTTGATATGGCAGATTCTTAAGGTTCATGGAAACCTTTCCTGATTTATTGCAACTACTGATGCAAAGAGCATTAGTAGTGCAACTACTTTATCTGTTTCTTTAAACAGAACATGAGGTCAGTAAAAAAAAAAAAAAAAAAGGTGAGTATGCCTGAAG